CAAAAAAAGCAGCCCAGGCAAAAACCGCCCCCCAGGACAACAAAGCACCCCGGAGAAAGCAGCACCAGACGACAAAGCAGCCAAAACGACCAGAAAACCCAGCAAAAACCAGCAGCCGGAAGACCAGCAGCCCAGAATAAACAGCAGCAGCCCAGGACAGACAACAGCAGCCCAGAACAGACAACAGCAGCCCAGGACAGACAGCAGCTGCGCAGGATAGACAGCAGCAGCCCAGGATAGACAGCAGCAGCCCAAGACAGACAACAGCAGCCCAGGACAGACAGCAGCAACCCAGGACACACAACAGCAACCAGGACAGACAACAGCAGCCCAGGACAGACAACAGCAGCCCAGGACAGACAACAGCAGCCCAGGACAGACAACAGCAGTCCAGGACAGACAGCAGCAGCCCAGGACAGACAACAGCAGCCCAGGACAGACAGCAGCAACCCAGGACAAACAACAGCAGCCCAGGACAGACAACAGCAACCCAGGACAAACAACAGCAACCCAGGACAGACAACAGCAGCCCAGGACAGACAACAGCAGCCCAGGACAGAAAACGGCAGCCCAGGACAGACAACAGCAACCCAGGACAGACAACAGCAGCCCAGGACAGACAACAGCAGCCCTGGACAGACAACAGCAGCCCAGGACAGACAACAGCAGCCCTGGACAGACAACATCATCCAATGATAGACAACATCATCCCATGATAGACAACATCATCCCATAATAGACAACATCATCCCATGATAGACAACATCATCCCATGATAGACAACATCATCCCATGATAGACAACATCATCCCATAATAGACAACATCATCCCATGATAGACAACATCATCCCATGATAGACAACATCATCCCATGATAGACAACATCATCCCATGATAGACAACATCATCCCATGATAGACAAACATCATCCAGATAGACAACATCATCCAATGATAGACAACATCATCCCATGATAGACAACATCATCCCATGATAGACAACATCATCCCATGATAGACAACATCATCCCATGATAGACAACATCATCCCATGATAGACAACATCATCCCATGATAGACAACATCATCCCATGATAGACAACATCATCCCAAGATAGAAAACCTCATCCCATGATAGACAACATCTTTCCCAGGTTTAGACAACATCATCCCTGAAGCAACACCCACCCCATGATAGACAACATCACCCCATATAAAAACATCATCCCATGAAAATTTTTTGTAAAAGGACAAAATCATCCCATGATAGCCCAACATCATCCCGTTAGAAAACCTCATCCCTGATAAAACTCATTCCCATGATAGCCCAAAAATATCCCATGATAAAACCATCATTCCCATGATAGAAAATTCTTTCCCATGATGAAAAAATTTTCATCCCTTAAAGGGGACAACATCATCCTTTGGATAGACAACACATCCCATGTAGAAACTTTCATCCCAGATAGAAAACTTAAACCCAGATAGAAAACTTAAATCCCATAAATGGGAAACATCACCCCATGTAGAAAAACCTTTAATTTCCCATGATAGACAACTTTTTCCCCATGATAGAAAACATCATCCATGATAGACAACTTTCCCATCCCCCATGATAGCCCAACTTAAACCCCATGTA